GCCTGAAAGCACCCCCCCTCCCACCCTATGACTCTCACTGTTAAGCGCTGAAGATCTTGAACGATCCTGAATAGGTGAATGCCTTCGGTGGTGTGAAAGCAGGGAGTTGAATGGAGGTGCGAGGGTTTTCAAGGTCTTCACCCCTTCATGATAGTGAGAGCCGAAGGGGGGTTGCTTTCAGGCCGTTCAGGACATTTACCCCTTCAGGATTGTTCCTAATCTTCATGATGATTTTTTATTATTATTATTATTGTTTTTTCCCGTGAACCATCCTGAAGGGGTGAATGCCCTGAAGGCCAGAAAGCACCCCCTCCCCCCACCCTATGGCTCCCACTGTTAAGCGCTGAAGATCTCCTGAACGATCCTTAAGAGGTGAATGCCTTTGGTGGTCTGAAGCAGGCAGTCGAATGGAGATGCGAGGGCTTTCAAGGCCTTCACCCCTTCATGATAGTGAGGGCCAAAGGAGGGGTTGCTTTCAGGCCGTTCAGGGCATTCACCACTTCAAGATTGTTCATAGTCTTCATGATTTTTTTTTATTTTTTATTTTTTTTACTTCCGTGAACCATTTTGAAGGGGTGAATGCCCTGAACGCCTGAAGGGCCCCCCCCCCACCCTGTGGCTCCCACTCTTAAGCATCGAGGATCCTGAACGATCCTGAAGAGGTGAATATCTTCGAAGGTCTGAAAGGAGCACCCGTTCCCATCTTTGTTCTCCAGTGTTGTGTCGTTTTGGCGTCGTGAATAATGTGAACGATCTTGAAGGGGTGAATGCCCTGAAGGCCTGAAAGAACCCCCCCCCACCCTATGGTCCCCACTGTTAACCGTGAGGATCATGAATGATCCTAAAAGGGTGAATGCTCTGAAGGCCTGAAAGAACCCCCCCCCACCTTATGGATCCCATTGTTAAGCTTGAGGATTGTGAACGATCCTAAAGGGGTGAATGCCCTGAAGGCCCAAAAGCACACCCCCCTCACCGTATGACTCCCACTGTTAAGGTTGAGGATCCCGAACGATCCTGAAGGG